GGAATTCCCGCGAATAGTGTCGATTGAAACACAAAGTTATGGACGAGTTGTACACAAAGTACGCCGACTTTGGGTCGTATTGCAAGTCGTAAATAACGTCATAATTTAAATAATTGACAATTTCTTCAACTATTTGATATGAGAAAAATATGACCAAGATAAGCTTTACAAGTATACCAAAATTAATGTGAAAATACTTAGACATTTTAAAACTTATTTTATGATCAAACCGTTTATATCAGTAAACGAGTTCCAAATGTGGTATATATAAGCTATTTCATACTAGTTTATAAAATTTATTATGAAAGTATCAATCAATATTCAATTATTTTTGAAAATATCTATGAATTTTAAAATACTATGCCATTTCAATGTGACATTTATGAAGTTAAAATCGATATTTAGAAAATAAAAATATCGAGGTTTAATATAGCAAAATATTTAGAAATATTGTACTTTTTCTATTATTTTCAACATGATAGTAATTTATTATTTATCATTAAAATATACATTAAAGTATAATATTATTAAATTATTTATTATTAAAGTTTTCAATATACAGAATATTATACGTAAAAACATCATAAAATCTTTTATAATACTGTATAATTACACTAATGATTTGTATTAGCTATACTATAGCATTATTAATTTAATTTAATAAATTTTTATAAAATATTCAAGTGATATCAAATGTGGAGTATAAGGTATTTGTGATATTACTGGTTAATAAAATTCATTATGAAAGTATCAATCAATATTCAATTATATTTGAAAATATCTTTGAATTTTAAAATACTATGCCATTTCAATGTGACATTTATGAAGTTAAAATCGATATTTAGATAATTAAAATATCGAGGTTTAATATAGCAAAATATTTAAAAATATTGCATTTTTCAATTATTTCCAACATGGTAGTAATTTATTATTTATCATTAAAGTATACATTCAAGTATAATATTACTGTATTAAATTATTTATTATTAAAGTTTTCAATATTTTATACCTAAAAACAGCACAAAATCTTTTATATTACTGTATAATTATACTAATGATTTCTATTAGCTATACTATAGCATTATTAAGTTAATTTAATAAATTTTTATAAAATATTCAGTGCAAAAAAATTATTAATTCATTGCCCGCACCATATGAAACAAATTGTTTAATTTATCATTATTATTATGATATGTAGATAATTATTTCATAAACAAATTTCAATAAAGATCTTTAAAATGTAAAATGTTTTCAGGATAATTCTATATTACGATAATACTGTACACAATTTGTAACCTTTTATTTATTAATCAATATTGTTGAAATAGTAATTTTTTGTTTCTATATTTTTCAATGTTTATACAATTCATTTACAATAACATTTATTAATAAATATACAATAGTTATGGAAAATATATGTTATGTCAAATGCGAATAATTACTTAATTTCTATTTAATATTAATATGAAATTAACAATCAAGTTGTATAACGTATAATCAATGTTGATAAATACACAATATAAAATTTATTTCCACTATTTAGATTGATTATAACATAAATAATAAATGTTTCTTTTATGAAATCTTTATATTTCACTGACAAGTTTTGGTTTGTAATCGTTATGTTTTCAAAATGTTAATAATGAATGTTTACAGTATTAATATTATTTTTCTAATAATTATCATAAAGGCTTTATAAATATTTAAAGCTATTTAAAAACATTCAATAACATGTTTGACATGTAATACAATGTATACTATACAGTATACAAGTAATCATTTAGTAGTACAGTAATATTATATTATAAGTTATAATTTATATTATTAATTTGTATTTTAAAAATAATTTAATAAAATATTAAAATGATCAATTTAATTAAGGAGAGTTTGTCTAAACAAAAAGTGCAATGTCTATTTTATATTTTATGTTCAATTACATTTTTATATCAAATTTACACGATATGTGAAATATATTTCTCATACAAAACCACAACATCTGTGAGTTATGGAGACTTTTCGGTCATATCTCTGCCGGCAATCACTATATGTTTCAATAAACTCGATGTCTTAAGGGATGAGTATTTGAATCAAATTAATATAAATCCCACAAATGATAACGAACTTAAAACTAGTGATAAGTTGTTAAAGTTTTACAATAATTACACGATCAGAGAGCAGATCGATATATACCTCAAAAACTATAGCCAAATATTTGAAATTTGTTTGTTGTCCAATTCAAAATTATCCAGGGTAAAAAATGATACAAAATCTTGGAATAGATATTTGAATTGTAATGATGTCAGTCCTGTTAAAACATCAATTAATTATGGATTGTGAGTATAATTAGCGCATAGTTTTTATATCTCATGTATAATAATAAAAGTTATAATATTTACCGCAGAATGTGTTTTACATTTATGTCACAAACCAATGGAGTATACGATGAAAGACTTCAAATGGAAAATGATTTTATGTTTAAAGATTTTAATGTAATACTAATTTATATTAAATTACGGCTGAATAACAGGGTCTTATTTAATAAGATCAAGGTAGGTGTGTCGATCCATGGTAACGACCTATTGCCTAATAATATATACAGATATAGTTTTCTAGAATATTCAATAATAGATGATGATGTCAACACGAAATATATCCAGTACACTAAATTAATTAGTAATTCATTGCCGGCACCGTATGAAACTAATTGTGTAGACTATAGGGAAAGGTATGGTCAAACATTATTTGATTGCATTGAAAAGTGCAGGGTAAGGGAGTTAAATAGTTATACAAATGGGAGGTGGGAGTTTTATCTATCATACAACACATCATCGGATAATAAACTGAAAAGTTTTTTGAAATTTTTTCAAATGAAACCAAAACTCGATATAAGAATTGCTAAACAATGCAAGAAATTGTGTGGATTTAAAAGGGAGTGTCGACAGGAATACTATGAAATAAATACAATCAAAAAGCCCAGACCTTGGAAGGGGTCGCTTATTATGCTAATGGCCCCCAATAGACCTGACATTATATACACTGATTCACCGAAAATACTGTTTGAAGAGTTTGTGTCATATATTGCATCCTATGTTAGCCTATGGTTTGGATTCTCTATTATAATGNTCAGCCATGGCTTCACTGATTGCATGATATTTGCCATCAAATGATCCATCACTTTATTGCCGTCATTATAGGTCAGATTCCCGACATGTATGGCACGTCTGGTGGCCTCCAGTTCCAGATATTTGGAATAATAATTAAACTCTTCGGGACTATTAGTGAACAAATAGTTGTAATAAAATGAGAGTCCCGTAGCGTTTCTGAAGTAAGAATCCATAGACCATAGACCAGTCAGTATATCAATAGTCTTAAAAGCATCCAGATAATTTTTATTATTGATGAATTCAATCGCTTTATTAGTCTCTGTATTGACATAATCTCTTTGATTCTCATCAATGAGTCCGGTTTGGTATAGGAATGGTCCATAGCCCAACTGGGTAACCGGGTCTATCCATCCGTTCCCAATGGCTATACCTTTCAGGTTAATATTAGATGCCTTTCCCTCGGAGTGTATCTTATAGGCGATCGCCGGCACGTATTTGCCCGCATATGACTCACCCGTTATATAGAAATCATTTTGTCTCTCTGAGGCAAATAGTGTGAAAAACTGCTGGAGGGCTGAGTAGAGATCCCGGGCCACATCCGACTGATTAGTAGCGTAACCTATAATATCAAAAAGGTAAACATATAACCTTAAAATTATATTAATGTTCCTACCTAGGTCATTATCAGTAAAACTAAATCCAGCGCCAACTGGATTATCAATGTATATCAGGGAGAACTCCTGACCCCACGTGTATTCCCTAAGACTAGGCTTTAGATTCTTATCCAATACGATGGGTCCGTGTTCTGTGAACAGACCAAACATTGATGAAACTCCCGGTCCTCCTTGAAGCCACAGTAGTACAGGTGCTTTTTTGTTACCATTCTGTTCGGGTATAATTATAATTGTTTTGTAATTTAGTAATTTATATAATATTTTTTAAATAAATGAACAAGGCAGATTAAGTGGATAACATTTAGACTATAACATATATAATATATTAAACATTTTAAATCACTGACATACCAGTGCCGGAAAGTACCAGAAAAATATATTACTGTTGTATTCCTTATTAACGGTGAGAAACCCGGAATAGTGGGTAATATTGGGCGCTCTCCCGTCTGGGCTGTGTGCTGAGTTGAAGACACGGAGTCGATAGGCAGGTGATCTCTATATACCGCAGTTTTTGTCACCAAGGGGCTGTAGCGGTAGGTCAAACTGTAATCGGAGTCTTACACTACGATATATGTGTGGACCGACAAAAGCTGTCGACCCATGAATTGTCAATAAAATAATAATTGTATTTATTATAGATTTCATAATGAAAAATGAATACAGTGTGTCATATACTCTGTAAATACTCAAATAAATCATTTTTAGATCATTTACAATGAAAAGTAAAAATAAAAAAAATATATTTTCTCTGAATATAAAGTGTTGTGTTATTTTATATGAGATTTCATAATAAATGATCTAAAAATGATTTATTAGAGGGCAGACCCGACACACGACTCAACTTCTGTGCCTCAGCTATCCGTCCACTAGAGATATATGGCGTCAAAAACAGTGGTTCCCCGACATCGCCATCCAGTTTGACATTAGCCTCAGAATGTGATGTATATATGTGTGGACCGAAAAAAGCTGTCGAGCCATGAATTGTGAATAAAATAATAATTGTATTTATTATAGATTTCATAATGAAAAATGAATATAGTGTGTCATATACTCTATTAGAGATCAGTAAATGTGCCAGCACATTACATATATCTATAGGACTTTAATACTTCAGCACTTGTGTGACATTTACAAATAAATCATTTTTAGATCATTTACAATGAAAAGTAAAAATAAAAAAAATATATTTTCTCTGAATATAAAGTGTTGTGTTATTTTATATGAGATTTCATAATAAATGATCTAAAAATGATTTATTTGTAAATGTCACACAAGTGCTGAAATATCAGTCCTATAGATATGTGTAATGTGCTGGCACATTTACTGATCTTCAATAGAGCATCTGACACACTGTAATAATAATCATTGTCTATATTTGATAATAAATATTATTTTTAACTGTACCGTACTGTTTTATAAACTAGATTAATTGTTTATGCACCCAAAAAAATAAGTGTTGATATAAGGGTTAAAAACGTTTTTGATCTGGGTATAACTCTACGTAATCAGCTACGTAGTTTCATATTTTAAGGTCTATAGTTAGAAAATAATTTTAAAATATTTAATAATCTTATGTGATTGCTATTATGCAAATTGTAAAAATATATTTTATTTTATAATATTAAAAATTAAATCTCAAAAATTGTAATAGTCTTTAATTTCTTAAATGAATATAACATCTATTTATTTATATGTTTCATATTATTATATGTAAATAGCATACAATACAAGTGATACAAAATGGTCAATAAAATATATTTACAATTATTAATTTAATACTTAATTCTGGCAATAGTAATAGTAGTGATAAAATTATTATAATTAATATTATTTTTTGCATGTATTTTTCGTTTATTAATGTATAACTTAATATTTAAATAATTAACATTATTAACAATATTTAAATAAAATTTATAAATTTTAGTGTAAAAATATAGATAGCATTTGTGAATAACATTGGATAACATTATAATAGAGAATCCAAACCATAGGCTAACATAGGATGCAATATATGACACAAACTCTTCAAACAGTATTTTCGGTGAATCAGTGTATATAATGTCAGGTCTATTGGGGGCCATTAGCATAATAAGCGACCCCTTCCAAGGTCTGGGCTTTTTGATTGTATTTATTTCATAGTATTCCTGTCGACACTCCCTTTTAAATCCACACAATTTCTTGCATTGTTTAGCAATTCTTATATCGAGATTTGGTTTCATATGAAAAAATTTCAAAAAACTTTTAAGTTTATTATCCGATGATGTGTTGTATGATAGATAAAACTCCCACCACCCATTTGTATAACTATTTAACTCCCTTACCCTTCACTTTTCAATGCAATCAAATAATGTTTGATCATACCTTTCCCTATAGTTTACACAATTAGTTTCATACGGTGCCGGCAATGAATTACTAATTAATTTAGTGTACTGGATATATTTGGTACATGTATTTTCTGGAAATCGATAAATATATGGACAAGGTAGATAATGGATATAAATTTTGCCCGTATACTAATAAACCCGGGAATAAGACATTGGGTCAATTGAATTATAAGCAATGTTATAAATATGGTAATTTATGTAGCTACGTGACGTTACAAGTAAACCCATTAACAGGGAGATCCAATTTAAACTACACATTAATCAATTTGATCCCGTTAAATTACATAGAGCCGCAAATTAGTGAACATTTAGCTATGGATTACAACGAACTTATTTATAATATCGGGGGTACTATTGGTATGTGGATTGGATTGTCCATGCTCTCATTTAATATTGTTGTCGTATACATGCATTTGACTTTTAAGAAAATCTATGATAAGCTAAGAAAGTATTACGAGTGATATTATTGTTATTTAGGTATATAAAAAATATAAATATTCAATCATCTTAATTATTCTCAAATTATTATTATCTCAAATTTATACTTTAATTACAGTATATTGTTAAAGTATTCAATTTTTAGATTAAAATATTATGTATTTTTTAATTTTCAATTCGTATCGATCAATGTTTTCAATCAATAAACATATTTAATTATATTACATATAAATTAAAAACGACTTCATTATATTATATTATTAAAAATTCATTTTTAAATTAAATTTTTATTTATTAAAATTAATTGGTACATGTATTGTTTTACAGTTTAGTATAAAATATATAATTAATTATTTAAACGTACAGTAGAGTATATGAAATATTGCCATCAAATGCACAAAATAGACTTTATATAAACTTTATAACTTTAAAACTTTATATCCATTGTTATATAATTCTTTAGATAATTTTATTAAAATAATATTTACTTTTCAACTCTATATTATCGAGTCTATGATATTAATCTGGCATTCATGTGAAACACAATTTTAGTATGATTTACCATTAAGATATAAAAAATAATTAAAAACCATTAAAAAAATATATAATTACTATAAACAAAATAATTAATGAATGTAAAAATGAATGTTAAAATTATTAACTTTATGAACATTAAACTGAATTTAGTTTATTAAAAGTTAGTTTTTAATTAGCAATTCATTAGTTTTAAACGATTTATTTTTTACAAATCTAGTTATCATATCCCGGGCAGCCCTGGGCTGATCATATGCTAGTATATGACCCCCATTGCGAACAATTACTTGATAAAAGTTGTGGACAACCCTTACATAACCGGCCACTTCTGTGTCCTTATCACTGACTTTCCACACGAGTCTGTCAGCGGACTTGTATTGACTCGCTTTCGACCACTTTATGCTTTGAATGAAGTTCTCAGTGAGAGTGGCCGCCACTATTATGTCCAGTTGACCACTGAATAGCATAACCTGGATGCAACATAACGTTACAACAAACATTTTAATTATACGGTTAGATATCTCTAAAATTATAATTGATTTAACTTTCACTAAATTTTTTTAGATTCACTATTTGATATTTATGAAAAATTCCCATGCGCATTATATCTAAGTCATCTAATCTAATTCATATTTAATACCTTATAGTCTGCGTCCATAAGTGTGGTCAGCCATGGCTTCACTGATTGCATGATATCTGCCATCAAATGATCCATCACTTTATTGCCGTCATTATAGGTTAGATTCCCGACATGTATGGCACGTCTGGTGGCTTCCAGTCCCAGATATTTGGGATAATAATTAAACTCTTCGGGACTATTAGTCAACAAATAGTTGAAATAAAATGACAGTCCCGTAGCGTTTTTAAAGTAAGAATCACTACCAGTCAATAGTATATCAATAGTCTTAAAGGCATCCAGATACTTTTTATTATTGATGAATTCAATCGCTTTATTAGTCTCTGTATTGACATAATCTCTTTGATTCTCATCGATGAGTCCGGTTTGGTATAGAAATGGTGCATAGTCAAATTGGCTGACCGGGTCTATAAGGCCGTCCCCAATGGCTATACCTTTCAGGTTAATATTAGATGCCTTTCCCTCTGAGTGTATCTTATAGGCGATCGCCGGCACGTATTTCCCTGCATATGACTCACCCGTTATATAGAAATCGTTTTGTCTCTCATCGGGAAATAGTGTGAAAAACTGCTGTAAGGATTCGTAGAGATCCCGGGCCACATCGGACTCATTATTAGTATAACCTATAATATCAAAAAGGTTTAGTAAACATATAACCTTAAATGATATTAATATTCCTACCAAGGTCATTATCAGTGAAACTAAAGCCAGCGCCAACTGGATTATCGATGTATATCAGGGAGAACTCCTGACCCCACGTGTATTCCCTAAGACTAGGCGTTAGATTCTTATCCAATACGATGGGTCCGTGCTCTGTGAACAGCCCTAACATTGATGAACCTCCCGGCCCTCCTTGAAGCCACAGTAGTACAGGTGATTTTTTGTTACCATTCTGTTCGGGTATAATTATAATTGTTTTTGTAATTTAGTAGTTTATGTAATACTTTTAAAATAAATAAACATGATAACATTTAAAATATTACTATTAGAATATAACATATAGTTTTTATATATTTTTTAACATTTTAAATCACTGACATACCAGTGCCGGGAAGTACCAGAAAAACATATTACTGTTGTATTCCTTATTAACGGTGAGAAACCCGGAATAGTGGGTAATATTGGGCGCTGAGGGCAGACCCGACACTCGACTCAACTTTTGTGCCTCAGCTACCCGTCCACTCTCGATGTATGGCGTCAAATATAGTGGTTCCCCGACATCGCCATCCAGTTTGACATTAGCCTCAGAATGTGATGGATATATGTGTGGACCGAAAAAAGCTGTCGACCCATGAATTGTTAATAAAATAATGATTGTATTTATTATAGACTTCATAATGCGAAGTAAAAATAAAATAAAATACTATGTTTTGTATGAATATAAAATGTTGATTTTATTTTATATGATATTTTACAATAAATTATCTATAAATGATATTTGTAAATGTCACACAAGTGCTGAAATATCAAAGTCCTATTGATACGTGTAATGTGCTGGCACATTTACTGATCTCTAATAGAGTATTTAACACACTTTAATAATAATTACTGTCTATAAGATATGTGATAATAATGTTATTTTTAACAGTACCGTACTGTTTTATAAACTCGACACATGCACTAGATCAATTGTTTATGTACCCAAAAATATAAGTGTTGATATAAGAGTTAAAGGTAATAACGTTTTTGATCTGGGTTTACCTCTACGTAATCAGCTACGTAGTTTTGTACTTTAGGGACTATAAGTAGAAAATAATTTTAAAATATTTAATAATCTTATGTGATTGCTATTATGCAAAAAAGTATATTCTACGTTATAATATTAAAAATTATATCTAAAAAATGTAATAGTCTTTAATTTCTTAAATGAATATAACATCTATTTATTTATATAATACATATTAATATATGTAAATAACATACAATACAAGTGATAAAGAATGGACAACAAAATAGATTTACAATTATTAATTTAATACTTAATTCTGGCAATAGTAATAGTAGTGATAAAATTATTATAATTAATATTATTTTTTGCATGTATTTTTCGTTTATTAATGTATAACTTAATATTTAAATAATTAATAACTATTTAACTCCCTTACCCTGCACTTTTCAATGCAATCAAATAATGTTTGACCATACCTTTCCCTATAGTCTACACAATTAGTTTCATACGGTGCCGGCAATGAATTACTAATTAATTTAGTGAACTGGATATATTTGGTGTTGACATCATCATCTATTATTGAATATTCTAGAAAACTATATCTGTATATATTATTAGGCAATAGGTCGTTTCCATGGATCGACACACCTACCTTGATCTTATTAAATAAGACCCTGCTATTTAGCCGTAATTTAATATAAATTAGTATTACATTCAAATCTTTAAACATAAAATCATTTTCCATTTGAAGCCTTTCATCGTATACTCCATTGGTTTGTGACATAAATGTAAAACACATTCTGCGGTAAAAATTATAAATTTATTATTATACATGAGATATAAAAACTATGCGCTAATTATACTCACAATCCATAATTAATTGATGTTTTAACAGGACTAATATCATTACAACTCAAATATCTTTTCCAAGATTTTGTATCATTTTTTACCCTGGATAGTTTTGAATTGGAAACCAAACAAATTTCAAATATTTGGCTATAGTTTTTGAGGTATATATCGATCTGCTCTCTGATCGTGTAAGTATTGTAAAACTTCAACAACTTATCACTAGTTTTAAGTTCGTTATCATTTGTGGGATTTATATTAATTTGATTCAAATACTCATCCCTTAAGACATCGAGTTTATTGAAACATATAGTGATTGCCGGCAGAGATATGACCGAAAAGTCTCCATAACTGACAGAAGTTGTGGTTTTGTATGAGAAATATATTTCACATATCGTGTAAATTTGATATAAAAATGTAATTGAACATAAAATATAAAATGGACATTGCACTTTTTGTTTAGACAAACTCTCCTTAATTAAATTGATCATTTTAATATTTTATTAAATTATTTTTAAAATACAAATTAATAATATAAATTATAACTTATAATATAATATTACTGTACTACTAAATGAT